AAAGAGAGGAGCCGTGGGGCCAGCTGGCCTACGGGAAGAATGGAGCCGTGGCACCAGCTGGCCTACGGGAAAGAGAGGAGCCGTGGGACCAGCTGGCCCTACGGGAGAAAGGAGCCGTGGGACCAGCTGGCCCCAAGGGAAAGAGAGGAGCCGTGGGACCAGCTGGCCCTAAAGGAGGAAAGGGAGCCATGGGGCCACCTGGCCCTACGGGAGAAAAGGGGCCCATAAGGCCAGTTGATGTGAGGGTGGGTGGGTCACCAGGAGCATTCGGCCCACCAGGGATGTCAACGAATCCACGTCGCCCTCCTGGACAGGCTGAACGTGGATGTGAGATAACAATTTACAGCATGCCATGTACCGAAAGCAGGCCTAGGTTGTAGTTTAGGCCGCATCAGTCGTAGGTTAAGGTCATCACGAACCAATTGCAAATGCATGTATACCCTTGTCTGCTACTTAAGGACATGAAGAATGTTTTTATTGCGACGAAGCACATTGCTTAATATGCTGGGATTGGACTTCCATTCCAACCCCGTGTCTTCTGTCAGTAGCGCCACCGCAGAACACCACAGAATGCGCGTGCGTGTAATTTAGAACGATAACTCAAGAAGGTTTGGCTGGATTGTCATAAAACTTGGTAGGTGGGTCCTCGGAATGATTTGACCCCCTAGCGGCTCGTTATGGTACTCCAGTGGAACTTTCGGTTCTGATATCTCGCGATCTGGACATTCTGAATGTCATGAATTTTAAATGGTAGGTAGATCATGTGCTGGGAAAGAAGTAGTGTGAGTTTGGCCTCCCAGCTTGTTCTGGAACTGCATGGCGATTTGTTTTAATTTTTTTTAAAGTTTTAGAGAGGATAACTTAAGAACCGTTTGTCAGATATCGTCGTGATTTTTAATATGTAGGTAGCTTAAGTAATGTTTGACACAATTGAATTCTATTTATGCAAATCAGGATCTAATTTGCATAATTAGTGAGAAAATAATATCTGATTAGTTCAATAATAGGACTATGAAAGACTTGTGACCTATGTAACTGTGAACGACAGGATTATATTGGCAAATATATTGATTATGAAGACCTAATTTGCATAATTAATGGTAAAGTGCTATAAATTCATGGTGGTAGCTAATGGAAATTTAATTTATACTGGTAGCTACTACTGGGAATCTAATACTTGTCATATTTGTAAGTTCAGTGAAGGTGAACATCACTAAACATAATTCATTCAAATCAGGACCTCATTTGCATAATTTATAAGAAAATGCTACAATAGCCTTATTTCTTAAAGATACGACTCTCATTGGGTACAGATTACTACAGAATATGATTAACTGATATAATTCATGCAAATGAAGCTCTTATTTATATAATTACGAAGAAAAAATGTATAACTAGCCAGCTTCACCGGTTAACATGATTTGTCAAAGGTATAATATCATGGAACTCTTGTTCATTGTAATTTTCAGCTCCTTGCCCCGAAGACGGTTACAAAATGTACAGTGGAACCTGCTACAAGGCCTTCAACACCCGGAAGAAATTCAGAGATGCAGACGCGACCTGTCGTCAAAATGGCGGCACCCTCGCCATGCCCAAAGACCGTGGTATTGACGACTTCCTGATCTCCCTTCACAATCGCGTGTCGACTGGTTCACCTTTCTGGTTTGGACTATTGAGCGAAGGAGCGCCTTGGAAGTGGGTCGATGGTTCCCCTCTTCGTAGGATGAAGCACAACAATTGGTTTCGTGCACAACCAAGATACCATACCGGTGTTACACTCTGGGCTTTCTATTTGGGAGGCAAATGGCGCATATTACCAAAGTACAGGACAGCGAAGTTTATCTGCCAAGTCGCCGCAAGTAAGCAATTACGTAAACATGTGATTTCTTCAAATCAATAAGAAGATTAGGCACTGTAAAATCACAGACTGTCTTCACCGCCCGTCCCTATCTTCGGGATGGTTATCCATTCGTTCATTCCTTGTCATTTCAGGACGTGCATATAGGCGACAGGTCAATCCCTCGCAACTGAGCAGCTGAACAACGGCTTTTCGACGCTTCACAACTTGCAGGTGAAATGTTGACGTTGGAATTCAATCCATGGGCTGCAGAAACCTGAGAATATGACGCCCAGAGAAACATCATTATTGAGATGACCACACTATCACTGCACTTACAACTAGGTGCATGCAGTTGAGTCGTAGAGTGCATTAGAATGGTGTTTATTGATTTTTCTTCTTAGTTGTCAGCAATTGTGGGAAAGGGTATGGTAATGGAACACTCAGAGGTGGACTTATGTATCCCCCTCCTGTACTGTTTGTTTTAGCCAAAGGGCCATAGAAGCTGGTTCATGGTGGTTTAATCGGGGTTTGCATTGTGGCTAGTATGCCAAAGTCAAGGGGGTTTGAGCCATAATCAAAAGTACGTCTGGACAAGTATAATGCATGTTATTAACCCAGTAATGACGTCACACTTCAAAGAAGCCACGTGACAAGCCTCACTGGGTCAGTCTACTGAGGAAGACCAGAGTGACTGGTCGAAAGCTCTAGGTGAGAGAACTGTTATTGTGTCAGATTTAAGTTTTATCTTTAAAAATGATGTGCCTACCAACACAGATGAACTTTCATGATAGTATAAAAGCATGGTCTAAAGCATAATTGTTTACTCAAGTGATGTATTACGCATGTAACACATCCAGTAAATAGTTGCATCCGCACCAGTGACAGATACTGTCATTTGACAAGGTTGTACGTATTTGTATCTGTATAGCCGGTATTTTGAATCCTTGAATTGTATACAAAAGACCCTTACATAATCAAACCAATAATGTACGTAAGTGCAACTTGTAGTAACGGATAACAACGTTTGCCTTTGGCTGATTTGTTAAAGTCAAACGTTTAGAATCTTTATATTATATTCAGAACTTGCTTCAGTATGAATTACTATACACAATGGAAGGAGAGGAAGGGTTTGTAAAAGATGTGTAACGATTTAAAAATGTTTACTGAGTCACGAGAACAGACAATGACAGTTATGAAAGTTTTAACTTAGGCAGTATTTAGAAATTATTGATTTTGTCTGGTGGTGGATTTTCTATGATATTCAGTAGTATGTACCTGCATTGAAGTAGTATCTGTTTCTGTATAGCCGGTATTTTGAATTATTGAATTGTATACATAAGACTCTTACATAATCAAACCAATAATGTACATGAGTGCAACATGTAGTAACGGATGACAATGTTTGCCTTTGGCTGATTTGTTAAAGTCAAACGTTTAGATGGTATATAGAACGTGCTTCAGTATGACTTAATATACACAATGGAGATGATTTATAGGAAATGATTACTGAGTCACCAGAACAGAGAATGACAGTTATGAAAGTTTTAACTTACTAATAGGCAGTTTTTCAAAATCATCAATTTTGCCTGGTGGTGGATTTTCTATTATATTCAGTAGTATGTACCTGCATTGAAGTAGTATCTGTTTCTATATAGCCGGTATTTTGAATTATTGAATTGCATACATAAAACTCTTACATAATCAAACCAATAATGTACATAAGTGCAACATGTAGTAATGAATGACAAGGTTTACCTTTGGCTGATTTGTTAAAGTTGAATGTTTATATGGTATTCAGAACTTGCTTCAGTATGAATTAATATTCACAATGGAAGGAGATAAGGAAAGGTGTGCAAAAGATATGTAACGATTTAAAAAATGTTTACTGAGTCACGAGAACAGACAATGACAGTTATGAAAGTTTTTACTTAGGCAGTATTTAGAAATTATCAATTTTGTCTGGTGGTGGATTTTCTATGATATTCAGTAGTATGTATCTGCATTGAAGTAGTATCTGTTTCTGTATAGCCGGTATTTTGAATTATTGAATTGTATACGTAAGACTCTTACAAAATCAAACCAATACTGTACATAAGTGCAACATGTAGTAACGAATGATACAGCTTACCTTTGGCTGATTTGATAATTTTTATATGATATTCAGAACTTGCTTCAGTATGAATTAATATTCACAATGGAAGGAGATAAGGAAAGGTGTGCAAAAGATATGTAACGATTTAAAAATGTTTACTGAGTCACGAAAACAGAAAATGAGAGTTATGAAATTTTTAACTTTTGAGGCAGTATTTAGGAATAATCAATTTTTTGTCTGGTGGTGGATTTTCTATGATATTCAGTTGTATCTACCTGCATTGAAGTAGCATCTGTATCAGTATAGCCGGTATAACCGCCCTTCGGCGTAACACATCAGCAGTAATCTATGTAACTTACGTAAGGCCACAGCAAGTAAATTTTATGGATGACATCCTCCACTGACTCCAAATCCAATGCGAGCGGGCGAAAACAAGGCGGGCTGAAAAAAACCAAGGTTCCTACATTTTAAAATTTTGACTCAATCATTGTACAAATGGTTTTTATTCAGTGGGAACATCACATGTACACAACCAACATCACATATCACTGCATCAAAGTAAGAAACAAAACATTAAATCAGAGCCTTTTCTTGTCTCCTCTTTTCATAGTTATCTGCCATCCACCTTCTGGCATGGCAACAGACATCTTTCCCCATTTTCGGCATGTTGACCACTGTCAAAATGCAACAGAATTTCTTCTTTTTTTCCCAAAATCAGTCGAAAATTAATGCGCTCTGAAGTCATACATAAAAATTACTTGCTGTGGCCTAATGTTAAGTTACAGGAGAGATGTACAGAGGATTTTGAGCACTCGTGAATAGAAGCACTTTGCATTTATACACCTTAATCATTCTCTTCATTAATCCCAAGGAGCTCAGTTAAGCCTTTAATGGTAATAGATTCTCTACAAGACCAGCATTTTAGAAGTAGTCGATAGAATCCCTGAAAACTCAGTGATTTACAGTGATTGTGTACCGAGAACCAATATATTGAATTGGTGTGGCCTTAGCCTGCCTTTTTAGGTCAGAAACGGACTATACGATCATCGGTATTGATGGTATTCTAGCAACAGAACTACGGAAACCACTACCTCTAACAGGCTTCGGGAGGCGCCTGGAAAGAGTAGACATTGGCCAAATAGAGAGATAGCATGCCGAGGGAGTTGGTCCGCTAGAGAGTGCAGTTTGCCGCACCCGAAATGTGCTCTCTTGCGGACCAGCTCCCCCGGCATGTTATCTCTCTATTTGGCCGATCTATCTCCAGTCGCCTCCCGAAGCCTGGTGGAAGGCTAGGATATCACCGTATTCATGAGGTAGGAATTCACCAATTTCACACTTCCCATAATGCCTAGTAACGGTCACGGATATGACGTAAGACCACGTACCCCCCTCCCCCTTCCTCGATGTAATATTTCCAACAAGTCCTATCGACAAACTGGTCAACTATTGTTTTGAATTATTTCTCTAGTATAAAGCGCATGTCATAATTGCATTTTTGTTGGAATTGTTGAAAATGACGTACCTTCTATCGTTCTACCTTCTACCGAAGACTCTCCTACTCGCACGGTCGCATTACGTATATTAGAACGATAGAAGGTACGTCCTTTTCTCTAATTCCAACAAAAATGAAGCGTGAAATTGGTGAATGGACATGTCGGCTGATAACAACCTCCAGGGAAGTTATGTACATCCGGGAACGGGTGACTGGTGTTTATTTATGTACAGATGTAGGGTCCGGCTACTAATTTTGTGGCATTAGGCCACACCAAGTAAATTTTATGGATGACGTCCGCGCGCGTATTGATTTTGGCCTGTTCCTAGAAAAAAACACAAGAAATTCCGCTTCCTGTAACCATGACCAGAGTCACGACAGTGCCGCAAATCGTCAGATTGACGCGAAAACAGGACAGGACGACAATTGCTGTTCTACCTGATTTATTGCTGTTTTGATGATGAATAAAAGACTTCTTGCTTGTTACACTGTGTCACCTCATTCAATTTGTGTCCTAACATTAGTCGTCTCTTAGTATATTTCTAATCTAGGCATCTTGTTTTTTAGGGCCCTTTTTGTTTTTTTTCTCGCCCTCTCGCATTAGATTTAGGGTCTCCAAAGGACGTCATCCATAAAATTTACTTGGTGTGGCCTTAAGTACGTGATTCTTTTTTTAAAGCACTTCGACTCGCCATAAATTAACACATTGAGACCTTAGAAAAAGGAACAAACCGATCATGACTAGTCTAGCTACGAGCTGGATGTCTTAGGATTCAAGTTAAATAACTAGTCTAGAAAACAGAACTAGTCTAGCTAGGCCGTCGTACGATTTGGATACCATAGGATTTAAATTCAAACAGCAGGTTGACAGAGCCAACCAACCACCCACAAAGATGTAAGCCAGCCTTTTCCGTATACGTAAAACGACAGCTCAATGTTGCAGGATACATAATGAGGCCACAGCAAGTAAATTTTATGGATGACATCCTCTGCAGACTCCAAATCTAATGCGAGCGGGCGAAAAAAAACAAGGCGGGCCAAATAAAACAAGGTTCCTATATTATAAAATTTAGAGTCAATCATTGTACGAATGGCTTTTATTCAGTGGGAACATCACATATACACAGCCATCATCACATATCATTGCATCAAAGTGAGAAACAAAACATTAAATCAGAGCCTTTTCTTGTCTCCTCTCGTCATAGTTATCTGCCATCCACCTTCCGGCATGGTAACAGACATCTTTGCCCATTTTCGGCATGTTGACCACTGTCAGAAGGCAACAAAATTTCTTTTTTTTTTTCAAAATCAGGCGAAAATTTATGCGCGCGTCGATGTCATCCATAAAAATTACTTGCTGTGGCCTGAATAGTACTTTTCCTATAAAACACTCAGTTTGCTATATATAGCACGACGTATGCAACCAAGGCTCTTTGATGCAACTAAAACCCTAAATCGAAACGATGCAGTGACTCGCAAAATTGCAATCGACCATATACAGTTATCTCCAAGCAGATCATATGGTGGCAAGGCAGTGTCCATTGGCCAGAGGAGTGGCCATACAAACTCCTCTGGCTATAAAAAAATGGATACTGTGTAACTGTTGCCACCGAAAGTTATCTGCTTGAAGCTTGATATACAAGGTGGCGTCGGGTGGCGTACTGGTATATCATTTGACTGTGAACCGGGAGACCCGGGTTCGATCCCGAGTCGTACCCGGGACATGTCTGGACATGCGCCCGACGTTGTGCCCTTGGGAAAGGCACTTTACACGACTTTCCTCACTCCACCCAGGTGTGAATGGGTACCTAACTTCGGTTGGGGAAAGTCGTATTGAGGTCGCCTTGTAGCGCCGAATGGCAGCCACACAGACCCTTGCGGCAGTTCCACAAAAATCTGGAACAAATATGTATCATGTGTATTATGTCTATTATTATGTGTCTCATTACCATTTGTATCATCTTTAATGGAAACCCTGAATCAAATTCAGCACTATTTTTTTATTAAAAGGCTGCTATTGCACGGGTGATGTTTGGCCAATAAACCATTTATTATTATCATTATCATTATACAGAATCTTCCAAAAGCGTTAAAAACTGGGATAAAAATGAGACGGCCGCTTTTCCTTTGTTATTCCCGCCGTTGGACGCTACACCTAACAGCCTGGACCAAAACTTCCTCCCACCTCCCGCCTGTTCCCTCAGATAAAATGTCAAACAGGAAGGCGGGAAAAAACAGCTTCCGTCACACAGTAGTCACCCTGCAACAAGGGGACTGAAACTGGGACATACCATTGTATACTGGGGGTTTACTCTTAGGCAGAATTTTTAAGAACCGGACTGCTCTTTCAAGCATTTCCTCAGGCCATGCCATAATGTCTAAACTACATTATAGGAATCATATTAGGAATTATAGTAAAGTAATATTGCAGATATACTTATAAAAAGGGTAGGAAATATTTTATAACTACATGTACACCCCTTGTCCCGTAGTGGACACATCCAAGATATTTACAGATACCGCTACAAATCTTAAATATGCAAATAAGGCTGGTTTGCTTTTGAGCGACACTTGAAGGCTATTTTGTTTTCGTGCTTCTCGAACTAAAACGTCGACTCTTCTGGCCACCGCATCGTTCTATATCTTCACCCTGGCGGCAACTCAATTCTGCTGAACAAGGTAAGAACTTAGCATGAAAGTTCCTCTGTGTTGGTATAAATCATTATGAAATAAAGACTGAACTATAACTTCCAACACTAGATATAGAATCGGGACTTACCCAAAATTTTCGGTTGACTCCATCGTTCCAAGAGTAGACGGGTCCATTCCGTGAACAAGGTTGATGGAGTCAACCGAAAATTTGGGGTAAGTCCCAATTCTATATCTAGTGTTGGAAGTTAAAGTTCAGTCTTTATTTCATAAGGTAAGAACTTAATATCTTTAAAAACTGAGGGAATATGATTTGAAGCATAATACAACGTGAACAAGTACATCAAGCGAATTTTCCATTTCATCTTTTAATTTTCCTCTGTACAAGTATAAATTTCGCTCACTAGACTGCTGTTTACTATACTTGATGATCAGTCTTTAAACGTAAAAGCTATGACTTCACATTGTGATTTTCCAGTGATCGACATTGCGATCATTAAACTGCGATCATTAAAAGTGTCCTTCTGACCAGTTCTCAGTCTGTGTTGTTACGGGGGGGGGGGGGGTAATTTCCTGTTGTTGTAGATACAAATACAAATACATGTAAACGTCTGAAACGAAATAGTGTGCTTTGGATAATCATTATTAACAACTTTTAAAGTCAAAAGCCTGAAATTACAGTATCATATGTGTTTACATCATTTGTATGTAGGCTCACTAAATTATTGCGCTTTGAAAATGTTTACCAGATGAGTACTGAATGTGACTGTAAAGGAGTCTGCAGACAGAGATGATTTTGCCGTTTTACTTTCAAGAAAAAAATGAATAAAAGTCTTCTCTTCGCACAGTCATGCTCCAGAAACCAGCCATACTGTTGGCCCTGTTGGCGTTGTCATGGGAACTGGCCAACGCCCAGTCCAACACCTGTCCAAAGGGGTGCTGGTGTACAGGTAAGGACTTGCAACTATGTATAAAGATCATCTTCAGCTATTCTTCCTTATTTTTAGCTTTAAATTTATCTATAAAGTTTACAGCCGTTTCACATGCCATCCATACCATCTGTTTTCTGTCAGTATTATATATAAGGCCACAGCAAGTAAATTTTATGGATGACATCCTCCGCAGACTCCAAATCTAATGCGAGCGGGCGAAAAAAAAACAAGGCGGGCCGAAAAAACAAGGTTCTTACATTTAAAATGTTAACTCAATCATTGTACAAATGGTTTTTGTTGAATGCGAACATCACATAGACACGTACAGCCAGCATCACATATAACTGCATCAAAATGAGAAACAAAACATTAAATCAGATCCTTTTCTTGTCTCCTCTCTTCAGTTATCTGCCTTCCGGCATGGCAGCCCATTTTCGGCATGTTGACCACTGCCAGAGGGCTACAAAATTTCTTGTTTCTTTTTTCAAAATCAGGCGAAAATTAATGCGCGCGTGGTCATCCATAAAAATTACTTGCTGTGGCCTAATAGACAAAATAGTGTTCTTATTTCTGTCATAACGCATTGAGTCAATTAAGGGATAGATGATGACTTGAACATTTTCATTGAGGTATGTCGAATTAATCTGTCCCAACAGAAATTAAAGTTGTGACGAATATATGTACAGTTTGTACTTCCTGTTCCCTTATCGTACATCTGTAAGGCCGGCGGATTCAGGATGTGCGGTAACCATATTTATCGTATGTCACATGTGTGTATTTTTAGCCTTAGTGTTGCCCCCGTAATGACAAAGATAGATCGTCCTTCCACAGTTCACGATGCTTCAAATCCAAGGCCACTCTGTCGGCCCAAAGACTTAGGGACTTTGTTACATACATTGTGTTATTTAATCTTGGTGATTCACTGGATATAGGGCATCCAAGCAGAGGTTATTTATTGTTTCTACCTCCATGAGTCGGCTTTTTACCTCCATAAAAAATGAATGGAGGTATTGTTTTAGGCGTGTCTGTGTGTCTGTCTGTGTGTCTGTCTGTGTGTCTGTCTGTCTGTGTGTTTGTGTTTCTGCACATTTGTAGTCAGCATAACTTCAGAACGCCTTCATGGATTGTGATGATATTTGGTATGCTCAGTACATGTAGGTCTTAGGAAGCTGAAGGTCAAGATCAAATATGGGCCTCCTGGTGGCTGACCTTGGTACTGCAGCAGAACGTTTGTATTTTGAGGGAAAACAGATGTGCCGGTTAAAGACTTCCTCTAACGCAAAACACGTGTGGTCAGGCAGCGCGCCTACCAGGTTTGATTGATGATGTTCTATGTACCGTGTAAAACATTTACAAAAACTCATATATTCCATTGAGGTTTGAGATCTCCGAATTCTTGTTTTACGTATTTTAGGCGTTTTATCGGGCCTTTTTTGTACTGGTATCCTTTTTTTCGCCCTGCTGGCAAATGGATGCAGACTTGTCAATTTAATAATGTCTTGCAGCCACCGTAATTTCTGCTTGGAGACTACCGATATGTACAGCTAAAGTTTATACATTAAGTCAATCAAATCTGAGCTTTTAATTTTGCAAAGACATTTTTTTAATGTATACTGTTCTTGTTTTAGATGTTCCTTTCGAGCAACTAAAATATTACATGCTTTCACATATTGTAAGAGATTGAATTGTAAGGACTCATGTCGAATTCTCGAGGGTAAAAGTTGGGGAACGGTGTCCATGACTATGTTAAGGTTGCGCCCTCTGCAGGCCGGACGGTGTACTGCAACCACCAGCACCTGACGGCCATCCCGACCAACATTCCTGACAACACCACTCAGCTCAACCTGCACGCTAACAACCTGTCTGTGGTCCCTTCAGATGCCTTCGAGAAACACGATCAGGTAACACCTTGTACAAGAGGGCATGCAAGCCCTTTTTCGAAAGGCGTAATCAGGCCGTTTTAGACTTCGTAATTCGTAGGCAGCCTCCGCAAAAATCAACGTAATTCGTAATTGGACATTAGCCGCAAATCGTAAAGTCGTAATCAGCTCTGAGACTTTAACATAATTCGTAATAGGCGGCGAAAATTTTGCGTAATTCGTAATCACAACCCCCCTCCCCCCTTGCAGGCCCTCGTACAAGAGCAAAATTGTGCAAAAGCGTATGCTAGCGATATCTACTCATATTTACCTTAGCCTGCACTCTAACAATCTTCTTCTTCTTCAATCTCTGTCATTAGTCTCCAACAGATTCCCTTGCAGGCTGAATAGGTGGTAGAAATCGGCCTAAATGGGAATATATGTTTAAAGTTAAAACTTTTGGTCCAACACAAAAAATTCTCTCACCTAGAGCTTTCGACCAGTCACTCTGGTCTTCCTCAGTAGACTGACCCAGTGAAGCTTGTCACATGGCTTCTTTGAAGTGTGAGGAAGACCAGAGTGACGGTCGAAAGCTCTAGGTGAGAGAATTTTTTATGTTGGACCAAACGTTTTAACTTTAAACATGTAACTACCAACACAGATGAACTTTCATGATAGTAAAAGGGAATATAGTTGTCCAGTGGAATTAGCGGGCCATAGAAGGACCAGTTTGCCTGCCGGCTAACTCCCATGGCCTGCAAAGGAGTCTGGAGGAGACTATTCTGTCGTAAGATTCGGTAACATCCTTGGTCACATTCGTCGTGCAATTTTTGTCAAACAGTTGGCTATAAAATAATTGATCGTCAACATGATATGGCATAACAATGTTGGCCTACACAAGACAGCTTGATTTTGTAGAACACAATTATAACTTTCCCAAAAAGTATCTTTAGATAATCTGATAAAGCTGATAAACCTATCTTCCGGCGGGAAGTGAGTGGGACAAAAGCCTCGGTCACAACCCGCCGTACGTGCTTTTTGTCCGTACGTTTTTTAGGAGGCTACGTCTGCTACGTTTTTTTCTGAAAACGTGGGGAAGGAGTGGCGTCGACGCACGTCACTCGCACGTCACTCGCACGGTTGCGAGTACGGGGGTACGGTACGGGGGTACGGTACGGGGCACGCGCGTCGCTCGTACTCGCACGCACGGGTGGTGAATCCGCAGACCGCACGTAGAAAAAGTTTTACATGCACTTAATGTTCTACGGCGTGTCTGCGTGTTCCCAAATCCGTAGGATTCCGTACGGAGGCGGTACTCACCACGCACGGATGCCCTACGTTTGCCCACGTATTTTGCACGTAGACAGCACGCAGAAGCACGTACGGTGGGTTGTGACCGAGGCTTTAGCCAAAAATTGAAGTTCAGAATGACGAAGTTTACGTTTTTAACCAAACTCTCCAGCTCAGCCTTGTGTATCTCCACTCCAACAACATCGTGGCTATCGAGGACGGCGCGTTCTCCGGCCTGACGAACCTGATGTACCTGTACCTGTCCGAGAACAAACTCACCAAGCTCACGGCGGGGACGTTTGGAGGTCAGGAAAACTGCATCTCTTTCGCAGAAAATGCTAATATAGGCATAGCAAGTAAATTTTATGGATGACATCCTCCGCAGACTCCAAATCTAATGCGAGCGGGCGAAAAAAACAAGGTGGGCTGAAAAAAAACAAGGTTCCTACGATTTAAGATTTTGACTCATCATTGTACAAATTGTTTTTATTCGGTGGGAACATCACATCTACGCAGCCAACATCACATATCACTGCATCAAAGTAAGAAACAAAAATTAAATCAGAGTATTTTTTGTCTCCTCTCTTCATAGTTATCTGTCATCCACCTTTCGGCATGGCAACAGACATCTTTGCCCATTTTGGGCATGTTGACCACTGTCAGAAGGCAACAAAATTTCTTGTGTTTTTTTCCAAAATCAGCAGCGGCGAAAATTAATGCGCACGCTGATGTCATCCATAAAAAATACTTGCTGTGGCCATAGTATGATTTTAAGCTTGTTCATGTACGCATGTGTATTGTGATGTATTTGGTCTAAGGTCAGGTTTGTAGTGGCAGGTAGAAAATGGCCAGAGGTCTTAAACTTTAAGGCCGTGTTTATGTGAAGTCACCCAAGGCTCTTTACATGTTGTTTACCCCGAAGCCGGTTTCAAGTGGCTCCATGCATCTGAACGCTCCAAATCACATTGAAAGCGCCTTGATCCCAAGCCACTTCTAGAGGTGGTTTCGAATCGGTTTTCCCGCATCGCGATTTGCGTCTGAACGCAATGTGATTTCAATGTGACTTCACTTGGTCATGGATTACGGGGTGATATTTCTTTATTTGTATGCAATACCAAATTTTACGTGTCAGCAACTTAAAGAGTAGTAATGGTCAAATAATGTGTCCGTTCTAGGACGAGATTCGCGCCGCCTCTGGCGGGACTACGTCGGCATTCGGCCGAGATACGCTGGGAGGGGGGCATCAGCAAGCAGGTCGTTGACCTCTGACAATAATGACACGCTACCTTGCATGTTTTCATCAAACAACAATGAATGTAGAATCGTGATCGGGCACGTTTTAAAAGGAATGTATGGCACGTGGACCAGATGTGCGGAATGTGAGTTACCCGAATCGCGGTTTGGGTGACTTCACATAAACACGGCCAAATTTGTTCCCTACACATACTCACATGGAACTGTGAACTGACTTAGTACGTTTTTTTCCGTGCATGGTACTTGAAAGGTCATGATCATAAATGAATTTGTGATCTAATTTTAACCAAGAAATTCAGATTCATACCTAGCAAAAATTTGGTATTGGCTGTAGTTGATACATTTTTATCATTTCTAGTTATTTATAGACGCTAACAAGAAATTAGAAACGATAACATGCGTGTGTAACTCGCATTATATTACCATAAGAAAAATCACAACAATAGTTATTGAATTGATGCAGTTTTGTTTGCTTTTTTCTGTAGGCCTAAACAATCTTGTTTACCTGTTCCTTGATAACAACTTTATCGGTAACGTGGAGAGCGGGACGTTCAGTATCCTGACCAACCTGGTGTTCCTCCACCTCCGCTACAACAACCTCACGGCGCTGCACAACGGCACGTTCCTGGGTCCAACCCGACTCAACTCGCTCTACCTCAGGTACATGTATGCGTCTACATGTTTGTAAACCAAAGTTAGGCCACACCGCCTTCATATTATGGATGACATCCGCGCGCGCATTGATTTTCGCCTGTTCTCAAAAGAAAAAAAATCACGTCCTCCGAGGCTGTTGCCTGGCTCTAGGCCTGGGTAGTCCATGGTAGTTAGCGACAATACGGAGCCGGGCACCCAGGCCACCGAAGATCCACGACTCAAGAACTCATAGCAGTACATACGTACAGTGCCGATTCATAACTTCCGCAAGCTGGCTTGTCGTGTACGTCGCTTTGTACGCATGCCGCAAATTCACAAGATCAGCTTTGTATTCCTGTGGTTTAGTAGCATTTCTATTTTTGGCCGGAATTTTCATTTATTCGCCCGCGCGCACTAGTACTAGTTTGGGGGTCTTCAGAGGATGTCATCCATAAAATTAAGGGGGTGTGGCCTTAGGAGCAGCTTGAATTTATTTCCCAAGCAAACTACGCTGTTAGCCTATCTACTGTATCTAATCAAGGAGGAGAACCTCCTACGACATCAAAGTTAATGTAGTATAGTCCATTCAGTCATAATTTGAAGAGAACAAAAATGAGTTGCCACTGTAGAGTAGATCAGGAAAACGCAGAAAACCACTACAAAACCACGCATAAACTTTTAGGGTAACCTATTGGCCCCGCCATCTTGTTGAGACGATGCCATCTTGTTACCTCATTGGTTACAGTACAATATGACCCTGTTCTTATCCAACTGTGCTACATGTATTAGTGTTTTTGTTGTACGTCAAAACATATCAATTTGGTTTTATCAATATACGTTTTTTACACTAGCATTCTAGTTGAGAAGCTATTGAGTTACAATATTATATCACAATCACAGTACGATCTGGATTTTGTTTAATCCACTAGATGAAAATAAAAAAAAGTTGATATGTTTCTTTGTTTGGTCGTTCTGTTTCTAAGCAGCTCTATTCAGTTATGATTAGGCTTATGAATTATCAGAGACTGCTTAAACACTTGTACCAAATGGCATATGGGTTATTGTGAACCAGAATCTGTGACCAAACCTGTGTACACGATTCATATATCTGCAAAAACAAATCATTAACCTAGCCTCGAGCCACGTGCGGAAAGGAACCTTCTCTCGGCAGCTATGTAGGATGGCCGGCTATATCAAAATAATGCGTTAAAAACTCTTCCCCACCGCCGCGGGGCCTGCACAGGAGGCTATCATTAACCGAATATAGACTACTTACGTTAATACACTCGAATTCTTCAATTTTACTAGCAGCACTGTGAACCGTGCAGATGATCCTACGTTATTCTCATATCTTTTATTTAAGATTTAACTTAGTACCACTGAGTTTTAATATTTTATCAATGTAATATAATGATGTAATGGTGATGATGATGAATATACGTTCGTGAATCAATGTAATTTTATTGATAGGTGTTGCAACGTAATTTTCGACATTTCATGTTAATTAGCAAAGGTATTTCACACACCACTTCATGTTGTACGTCTGCTATTTGCTAATAAAGTCATATCGTATATCGAATGAACTGATAGCCCTCTAGCTTCCCTTGTGACTTTTGTTGTATATGTCCTAGCTAACGACGCAAAACGTTAGCATATCCGGATCCCCAACATTCATTCCTTTCTTCATCCATCTCAGCGGTAACTGCATCTCATACGTGGCTCCGGGAGCCTTCTCGGGTCTCCAGGCGCTCCGCTATCTCTACCTGGACAACAACTGTCTCACCGAGCTGCCCGCCACGTCCTTCGAGGTCCTGTCGGGGTTGTACCGTCTGGAGCTGTCGTCCAACCCCATCACAACCCTTCCCGACGGGAGTTTCAAGTACATGAACCTCCTCAAGTATCTCCTGATGGAAGACATGGCGCTGGCTAAGATAGAGAAGAGGGCTTTCGTCGGTCTGAGCGATCTGAAGTACATCTTTTTGCAAAACAACAACCTGGTTACGATGGATCCGGAGGTGTTCCGGCCGCTAAAGAGGGTTCAGGAACTGGAGCTGAACAATAACCAGGTAAGAACAATAACCAGGTAAGAACAATAACCAGGTAAGAACAATAACCAGGTAAGAACAATGACCAGGTAAGAACAATAACCAGGTAAGAACTGTACATTACAGTAGGGGATTATCATTAGATAGCTTTAAGCAATGTTTAGAGTTAGACGTTCAAGTGTTAGGTGTAACAGATCGTTCGGTGTAATGTAGTCAGCTGCCGACGCACCGTATGCCTGTAGTGAGAAGGTGCTGTGTTACGCCGAAGGGCGGTTATACTGGTTATACCGATACAGATACAGAACAATAACCAGGTAAGAACAATAACCAGCAGGTGACAACAATAACCAGGTAAAAAAAATAACCAGATAAGAACAATATAACAATTAGATAAATTTTGAGCAATGACTAAGGCTAGGCGAGGGTAATAATAGCCAGGTGGAAACAACAAATAGGCGAGAATAAAATAACAATGTGGAAATGTTAAGCAGATGAAAACAATAAACAGGTAAAAACTTCACGTTACACTTTGATGGCCAAAACGGTATGCAATACTAGTATTCTCCTTCACTTGTAGTTGGAGGAGTTACCGCCAGAGGGCCTTGCGATGATGCGTGACTTGACCGTACTGGACGTGTTCAACAACAGTCTCCAGTCGTTGGACAGTAGCGTGTTCCCCACACTGCGGTACCTGCACACGCTCAACCTGGACACCAACCCCTGGAACTGTACCTGTCAGCTCAAACACTTCAGGTGGGTTTGAATAGAATAGAGGACGAATGTCACTTTGTTATAGAATGTAGATTATATAGTAAGGCCACACCGTCTTAATTCTATGGATGACATCTGCGCGCGCATTGATTTTCGCCTGTCGCCCTCAAAAAAAAAAAGATCACCTCCACCGAGGCTCTGACCTTGCTCTAGGCCTGGGTAGTCCATGGTAGTCAGCGACAAAACGGAGCCGAGCACCCAGGCTATCGAATTTGAAGCTCCACAACTCATGAATTCCACAAAAAGCCAGCATGTGCCGGCTTGTTGTATACGTCGCTATGTACTGCCGCAAGTTCACAATACTTGAGCTTTGTATTCCTGTGCTTTAGTAGCGTTTTTATTTTTGGCTGGAATTTTTTTTTATTCGCCCGCGCGCACTAGTTTGGGGGTCTTCAGAGGATGTCATCCATAAAATTAAATCGGTGTGGCCTTAAGAGAGAAATGATCTGTATAGGCTTGTAGAAAACCTTTTTCCTTACTTCATACACTTGAGCACTAGAAAAATTCATATTCCTAATGCGACTTGACAAACCTTCCATCGAAAAACATATCTGTTCCTTTATCTCTACTATAAGTGAAAAGCGAGAAGTTGAATTTATGTAATGATAGCTAGTTTTATTTTGTATGTATCTTTTCATCATGTCTTGTTTTGACCAGTACTTAGCCCAGTGTGGCAAAAATGTGCAAAAAAGGTCGTCATTCATTCATTCATTCATTGATATTAAATTGACAATGCACTGTGTTCCGACCAGAACATTACATACAATTCCTTTCATTGGCCATCTTGGTTGAACACTTGTTACTTAAAATGTACATGTCTCGCTGCGTCTACAGTGGCCCATAGGGACAAATTGTGTCGTCTACGCAAACCTTTTAGCTATCTATGCAAATCATTTTGTGAGCTGCAGATTGTCCTTGTGGGCCACCGTATTCTTTAAATGGCTGCACTTTGTCTTGTGTTGGTGGGATCTTGGAGTGACTTTGTAAAGTTTTAAAACCCTTGTCCTGCGGGGCCCATATATATGTGGGTTGCACATACAGTACCATCTATATGGTGCCCTGTATATGTGCGATTTGGGGGTGTTTCTCGTGCAACGCATCACACCGCAGCGAAACGCAACGAATGCGGAAGTAAGTACGCCGCCGCAGGGCAAAAAAAGTCAAGGGTCTGTGACCTGATTAAGACATGAAATAATTTGAAAATATTGTGTAAAAATTGCCAGCAGGACAAGGGTTAAAACTTCTGGTTGGCAAGTCATTACTAGTTATCACAACATATTTGAACCGGACATATGTAATTATTGTAAAGAAAGGTGACTTAATAGGAACCATGCGATCTTGCCCTATCCTTTACAGACAGTTCCTTGAGAACACGTACGTGCGCGCACACCTGAAATGTGCCTCACCTGCCCAGCTGGCGGAAAGGGACTTGAAGACAGTCACTGACGACGAACTTGGCTGCCCGAAGATTGCCTCCACCCTAGAGGCTACCACAAGTACTGCACCCCCCACCAAACCTCAAACATCTCGCACCATAACCCAAGCGCCTGTCACAGCCAGAGAACAATCCGTTACACTTAGCGCTGTGACAAAAATGAAACCGCCGCCGAAGAAGACGGTCCCCCCTCCTCATCAAACCCCGCCGCCGGGAAAGACGACCGAGTCTACCCGGAGACCCGCGGATGCTGACCCGCCTGGGGATCTGCCCGTTACCCCTCCCCATAGCGACTGCTTCATGTACACGCTCTTCCCCAGCGTGACTAACATCAGCTCCGGGAGCATCACATTGCAGTGGGTCTCCACCTTCCCGTACCCAGACAGGTTAGTGGTAACATTCATGCTAATGAGATACAAATTCATGCAAATTACATCACATTGCAGTGGGTCTCCACCTTCCCGTACCCAGACAGGTTAGTGGTAACGTTCATGCTAATGAGATACAAATTCATGCAAATTACATCACATTGCAGTGGGTCTCCACCTTCCTGTACCCAGACAGGTTAGTGGTAATTCATGCTAATGAGGTGCACATTTATGCAAATTACATCACACTGCAGTGGGCTTCCACATTCCCTAAAGTTAAAGTTAAAGTTAAAGTTAAACTTAAAGTTAAAGTTAAAGTTTAAGTTAAAGTTAAAGTTAAAGTTAAAGTTAAAGTTAAAGTTAAAGTTAAAGTTAAAGTTAAAGTTAAAGTCCTCCCCGCAACCATTAGCATGGCCATGGTCGAGTATGGCGGCGCCCATCTCCGTTTCTATAGCCCTTGGGCCACACAGTGCAATCACTACAGTAAAGGGCTGGTCCACTGGTATGTGTTTAACTCCCATACCCTCTCTCAAATGCTGAGTGCTAAGCAGAGAAAGCAGTACATACCATTCTATTACCCACAGAAAAAATAATTAGCGGTAACACGGGTCGTTTCATCTAATGAGATTGAAATGAATATGCAAATGTATTCCAAGAATTTTTGGCCCCTATACAAGTGCCAGTCTCTGCTGATTTGGTGACGGACGTCAGCAATAGGAATATATTTACATAAAATGCATGTATTTGCATGTCATTAGCAGATCCAACACTAACTAGAGAAGTAACATTTGCAAAGCAAATGCATAATGTTTACCTTCGGACATGGTCTGCTCTGTTAATTTTTACTCAAACACATTCACATACATTTACCCCTAGCACATGGTGACAGGAGCAGAGCAGACCATGAAATTGCAACATTATGTAACCAACCACCAGTCTCCATGGTGACAGACGTCAACAAACCACCAGTCACCATGGTGACAGACGTCAACAAATCATGTCATTGGTCAGGTCAGAGGTCAATGTTTGGAGAAGAAGAAGAGCAAATGCATAATGTTTACCTTCGCATAAAGTCTGCTCTGTTAATTCTTACTCAAACACATTCATATAATTGGTCATACAGGAGTCTAAATCCCTCCTGCTATAAAATTGCAACATGGTGTAACACAACACTAGTTACCATGGTGACAGACGTCTGGTTCAGGTCATTGACCTTATTTGTTTGGAGAAGAAGAAGAGGAAGAAACTGAGCAAAAACAATATGTTTTCCTTCGGTAAACATAATTAAAAAAACATTTCCGAAACTTCTCCACTGCAGGTTCCATATCCAGTACAAGCCGTTCGGGCCCAGGTACAAGTGGCGGTCTCTGGACGTGAAGCCTGACGTCACCCAGTTTGTCATGACGTCACTCATGGCGGACACGATGTACATCTTCTGTGTGGAGGTTTGGACGTCTCATATACTTTCAGAGATATTACAATCAATTCAGTTCAGTTCAGTTCATCCTTCTGGTGACACCATGTACTGTGTCCACATATTACAATACTGCGAGATTTCACGTTGAACATGTACATGTATGTGCTAAGCCAAGTATCTATCTATCTATCTATCTATCTATCTATCTATCTATCTACCTATCTATCTATCTATCTATCTATCTATCTATCTATCTATCTATCTATCTATCAATCTACCTATCTACCTATCCATCTATCTATCTATCTATCTATCTATCTATCTATCTACCTATCTCTCTCTCTCTCTCTCTCTCTCTCTCTCTCTCTCTCTCTATATATATATATA